AGATTAAGCTGTAATATTAATTATTCATTAATATTACTGATCGGAAGCGGCCTCCACCCAGGCATTCCAATCACTTGACCTCATTGAATATATTAGCTTTCTAATAATTCTGAACCCACTAACGGAATAGTACACTTGTTCGAAGGACACCATTCCTTTCATATGTGACACGTCATTCCCCTCTCATAGCATTGTGTCACATAATCACATAATGACACGTCATTACCAATTAATAAATCATTCCAACTATTATTAAAAAGCTTTTGATGGGTTTTGAACACTAGACCTCAAAGAAACAAGATCTATCATCTAAGCCAATAATAATTGATGTCATCTATACATATAAATATAATTATAAATGACATGCATTAATTAAAAAGGAAATACGATATAAGCAGTTTGAAAAAAAAAGAGGAATAAAATCAACATTTCACAAACAATAGAGTGTTAAAAAAATCTCTTTCAATACTCTTTATCAATTAGTAACATAATTTTTAACATTTATGCAAAACATACATAATCGATGATAATATATTTCATTTTGTCAAAAAAGATGATAATATATTTCATAAAGAATCAATTTAATCAAAGTGGTAACCCGGTGCAATGCCCGGACCACACATTAGTTTTTGATAAAAAAAATTGCCATAATAACTCTGATATGTTAGAAATTAATCTAGAAAAATCTATATGTGCAATCCATTAAATACTTCAGCTTCTATATAAAAAAACTGAAAATTTAACATAAACAGACAAACCTTTGGGCGGTTCTCCCATATTGAACTAACCTTTAAATCTTCCCATATTAGACACAAGTTTGTATTTTTTTCTCCCATATTAAATCAAGATGACTTGTGACTTGAACAACTAGTCATTTTTTTTTTCTTTTTTTTTCATTTAATTATCTTTTTAAATTAAAAAACTAACAAAAAAAAAAAGAAAAAATCAAACCACAGAAGCCCTCCTCCCAAGCCCACTGCCAGCCACTCCCCCCTCCATACCCCTGCCGGCGTTTGGTGCCCAGCCCACCCCAAGCGCCGATGACCCTACCCCCCTTCCTTTCCTCCTTTTTCCCCCACCCAAAATTGATGTAACTTACCTAAATGGATGATTTGTGATTTGCTGGGTTTTGCGTTTACAGGGAGGTGAAGTTGGATGCGGGCTGATAGGTGATGCGGGTTGATATGGTGGCCGGATTTGTGGCGGTGAGGGTAAAGTGCAGCGTCTGCTGGCTGTTTTTGATGAAGTAAAAATTGAAGGTGAGGGGTAGGACAGTTGGGCGGTGGTGTTAGGTGGTTGGTGCGGGGACTCCGGGCTGCTTTGTTTAGGTGCGTGGAGTGCAGCTGTTGAGGTACTTCTTACGGTTGGTTGGTAATCTTGGTATGTTGGTTTCGATGTTTTGGGTGGGTTGGTTTGGGGGTTTGGTTGGTAGGTATGGTGATTTTGGTGGTTTTGTTGTTGTTATGGTGGTTTATGTGGTGGTTGTTGCTGGTGGTGAACATAGGTGGTGGTGTAGAGGGTGGAAGTGGTAGTTGTAAAGGTTAAGTTATAGGTGGCGATAATTCCGGTGGAAGTGATTTCGGTGGTTTTTTTTTTTTTTTGTAAAAATTATCAAAATTAAAAAAAAATTAATAAACTGACCAATGATTTAATGACAAGTGGAATTTTACCTGATATAACAGGTAAGGTAACCTGTTTGGTCCATTTTGGGAGAAAAATGTTAAACTTGTGTCTAATATGGGCAGATTTAAAGGTTAGTCCAATATGGGAGAACCGCCCAAATGTTTGTCTGTTTATGTTGAATTTTCCTAAAAAAAAAATTAAAAAAACTTTTCATTTCCCTTCTCTTAACTAGTTAACATGCCTTCCGATTCAGCAATAATTACATTTCCTTTTTTTTTCTCATTGTAGCGCGTATTCTCTTCTACTCTCTTTTTGAATTTAATTAATGCTCTGCACATTCTCTCTCTTCTTTTCAATTTTCTCTGCAATTTCTCTTCATCTTTGCTTTTTCTTGTTGGTTTTCTTCACTAGAAGAATTTCATTTTGGATTCTCATCCATTGTTTAGCTTAGTTTTGAAATTCTTTTATTTTAATAGCATAAATGATGTTGATCTATTGTTGTAATTGTTGATTTTTTATGGTTTTTCATTTTTCTTGTGTGTTATTAACTTGTAATTAAGTACTTTGTTTCAACTTTAAAGTACCTGTTAAAAAAAAAAAACTAAGTAGAATTTTTTGTTTTTGGCTGTAATTTGCCTGTGTATTCCTATGTTGTAATTCTGTTTTTGGTTTTTTTTTTGTTTTTCATCGTAATTTATTTCATATTTTAGGGTTTTCTGGTTCATTGTGTTGATTAGATGCAATATTTAAGTTTTTACATGCATTTTAATTTAATTTTTTGTTGATGTCATGTATTTTATTACTTAATTGTTCTTATTTTGAATTTTAGGTTTAATTTCTTACAATTTCCGATGGTGAAGTGTAGAGGTGGTCGTTTGAATTTTTATAGGAGACATGGTTTGCGAAGTTCTCTTGGTGGATCTGATGATTCTCAAAGTGTAAACTTCTCTAATTACAGTTATAATTCTTTTATTTTTTTTGTATACTAGAGCATATATGTGCTTTGTACGGGATACATTAGACACAAAAGAAAATTACCTAAAGTGAAATGTTAGTGGTTATTGATATATCTTGAAAAAAGTATAAAAAAATAAAATTAAAAAATAGTGGGATTGGTAGAGTAGTATTGGCTTATTAAACAAAAATATTAAAAAGGAAAAAAACAAGTGTGATCAATAGAATTTGAGGATTGGAAATTTTAGGGAATGTGGTGAATTGACTGTGCAATTATATTATACGAAGTAGACAAGATTTAGATGACATCATTTTCAATGGGGACCACCAAAAATGATGTCACATCCAAGTCTTGAAAAAATAAGAGAAAGGATGGGAAACGAAAAGGAAGGAAAAGAAGGGAAAGGAAGGTGATTTTATTTTCCAATTTTTGGTTGATGAAAGGAAATGAACGGAAGAAAAAAGGAAATTATTTTTATTTTTCTCTTTCCAGTGAAATTCCTCCAATTTTGGGAGGAAAGGAAAGCCAAAATTTTGTTAAGAGACTTTCCTCCCACTTCCCTTCCTTTCCTTTAGATTTGTATATCATTTATTCAACCAAACATGGGTATATGATTAAAAAAATTTCCTTTCTTTTCTTTTCCATCCAAATCCCTTCAACAAAAAAGGGCCTTGGGACTATACTTGTTGTATTGCACAGGAAATATGTATATTGAAGAAAAAATATTCCAAATATAAGTGGAAGTTATATAATAATTTGAAGTTATTGAATTTTTTTTTTTGGGAAAGGAAATGATGGATTTTTTTCATGTTAATTTGGAATTGTAGCGGTTATTTGTAAGTTATTTTTTAAAAAAAAAGGAGAGAGAATGCATGAGAATAGATAGTTGGAGGTTTGGAATGTTGTGGTGAATTTACTGTACAATTATAAAAAAGATTTTTATAGTTGAAACATTAATTGTTATAGTTATATAAATGTCCGCTTAAGTTATGCTTTATGTTTTATTATATGTCATATTGTCTTATAAAAGTTATATACTACGTATTAATCATAGTTATAGTCATATTTGTATAATATTTTGTAACAATTTTAATAAGTTATGTTAATCGTAGTTTGATATCGGAGAAATGGGAAGTAGGTTAGTGTTTGTTGTTTTTGGCAGGAAATTCTATTACATACATAATTTGTTTTTGTTTAATTGTTATTTTTTGAGTTTTGTCCTTTTATGATTAGTTATACGATGCCTTTTTCTGTTACGGTTTTGGAGTGTTAAATAGAGCTAATTGGTGTAATATTCCGATTAAGAAATATACACTGAATTTTTCCTTTATCTCTCTTCTCTCTCTCTTCTGTTATTATTCTTATTCCTTCTTCTATCTTCTTCTATTCTTCTTCTATTTTCTGGAATCAACTTGGAATTTAGCTTATTAGAGCTCAGATAAGGTTTATACCTTATCATAGTTATAGATGTACTTTTCAGTTCAAGTTATGATTTACAGTTATATATTATTATGTTTGGTAGGTGCGTGCTAATATTGTAAGTAATAATGAAGCTACTATTGTTGGGGAGAAAAATCCAGGAAAGGATGCTCGGCGTCTAGATGAGAAAAATCCAGAAAAGGATGATCGGCGTCTAGCTGAGAAAAAGCCAGCAAAGGATTATCGCCGTCCAACTAAGAATAAGCAAAAAGTGGTTAACAAGGCTGTCAAAGTGGAAAAGAGAAACAGACCGGGTTTTGATGCTAAAGAAGGAGAAGCTGTTGCAAGTATATCAGAGAAAGATACTTCTAATTTTGATGTTGAAATGTAAGTACCCTTTTTTGAAGTTATTGTTACGATTTCTAAAGTTATGGATGATGCTCTTAAAGTTATGGATAATGTCCTTAAAGTTATGACATTGTGTTAGTAAGATGGATGTTATAAATAATTTATATGCTTATATAATATTTATGGTAGTTTTATGTAAAGTTATGAATAATGGTACTAAAGGTATATTTTAGTACTTATATATAGTTATAGTTGGTGTTTGCTAAAGTTGCATTTATTATTTCTAAAGTTGTATTTATTCTCACTAAATTTATAGTTGTTCATTTAATTTATCCTTTCTTCTTTTTTGGATTCAGATTGGATAGGTTTTTCACACTACTACAAAAAAGACCTAAGGAACCAGTCATAAAGCACCACATAAATCACTAATCCGGTTTCTTAGAATAAGAAACCATATATAGAGATTTCTGGTTTCTTAGTATAATAACAGGAAACCATATATCATTAAAATCTAGTTTCTTATATCAAAGAAACCTTATTTGAGAGATGTTCCTTAGAATCATTGAAACCAGTTTTAGATTATATATATATATATATATATATATATATATATATATATATATATATATATATATATATATATATATATATATAAACCATAATAAAAAAATTAAAAACCCTACCTAGTATAATCGCCGCCCATTACTCCAACTCCCCATCCTCTCTAAACTCAATTATCTAACCTTCTCTCCTATATCTTTTATATACAGATTTCCTCATCTATAATCTCTTATTCATTTTTATGTCGAAAATCACTTATCTAATTTCTTTATCTTTTTCTTCTTGATCATCTTAATTGTTATCATCTTCTCACTAGCCCTATCATGAAACAGCGAGATCGTTTTTTGAATCCCATAATTTTTGGCAATCTCCAGGTAAAACCATTCTAAGATTTATAACTTAACGAAATTCAAGCACAAACCAGGTATAAAGTTTTCTTGAATAGTATCGTTTACGAATATATGATTTTTTTTATTTAAATTAATTTAGCAATGTGTAAATGCTTAATTTTTGTATGTTGAAATTTGATTGATTTTGTACTTATTTTGCAGTTAATGGCGTGAATTGGACCCAGTCGCAATAAAAGCAATATACGAAGCTTATGCAAGTGTAGGAATTACAAACAAATAAGTTGTTTGATTGAATCCAAATCAAATTAGCGTTGGAGTACTTGAATCATGTAAAATTGATAGTTGGAGTTATTTTAATATGCATTTTTAATTTGATAGTAGCATTTTTTATAAAGTAGATGTAATTTACAGTATTGTTCATGTACATTTATTGCTTCTAATTATGATAATTAGATTCTGTATATTACAATGCTTTCACATGTATTAGACTAATGAGTGCTTTGTTAAAAAAAGTTATAGTAAATTAGATAGATCATAGATTTTATTAAATAAAAACAATAGATGCATACTCTTATGATAGATGATGATAAACATGTTGACCACTATCCCACTAATCGTGTGGCAAAGCAACAATGAACAAGCAGGATTTTTGTTTTTTTTAATAAAAATAAATAAAAAAAATGAATTAATATTTTTGGCACAATAAATAATCAAAGAGACCGGTCATCTTTCAAAATTGGTTTCTTACACTAAATCTAGGAAACCAGTGATCCACAACATCTGGTGCCTTTGCCTTGGTTGTTTTATGGTCTTAGAAGAATCTAAGAAGCCTGTTGTAAGGTAGAACTAGTCTCTTTGCTTAATCTAAGATACCAAAAAAAATATCTGGTCTCTTAGGCTAAGAGACCTACTACCTAGGCACCAGAAATTTTCCGATTTCTTAGGCATATATTGCCAAGTCTCTTAGGCCATTTTTGTAGTAGTGTCAGTACCCATTGCAGACCGCAAACATTAGTAAATCTAATGAAAGATTTTTCTGATAAGCAAGTTAAATATGTTGTTGAAATAGGATTTGGTGGTTTGTTGAATCTTAAATTGACTAAAACTATTAAAACTTTACTTCCTTGGTTGGTTGATCATTTTGACCCTATTAGTTGGATGTATTCTATAAGTCATGGGAAGGAATTTGTTTTTTCTCCCTATGATGTTTATGATGTATTTGAGCTACCTTTGCATAACGGGATGGATGTTGTAGGAGTACTAGAAGTATTGATCTTGAATTGGAACAAGAATGGAGGAATACGTTTGATTTTACTAGTAGTGAAGCCATACCTTTGCATAAGTTAGAGTCTTGGATTGTTCTAATAAAGGATGGTGGGGAGTTGTTTAAGAGACTATGTGTGGTGGTTGCCTTTTCTACATTTTTAGCGCCTGTTGCAAATAGAACTGTTGATTTGAGTTTTGTTAATGCTCTTCATAATGTTGATGAAATTAAGAATTACAATTGGTGTAAATATGTCCATGAAAGGTTGTGTGGGGCTATTTTTAATTATAAGAAAAGTAGGAGTCAAGACAATGTTGGTGGTTGTACTTTGTTGTTAGAGGTTGTGTATCTTCAGCGTCTAAAGTTAAGGAACGAGGCACAAGATTGTAGTTTACCTCTTATAAAACACTGGGCTGATATGAAAATCAGTGATCGGGTGAAAAAATAATTTAAGGCTAACTCATTTGGTTGTGGTATTTTGGATACTACTACATAATCTATTTCTCATAATTTTGTGTTTAGAGAATTTTGTGCACTTGAACAACCTAAAGAAACTGAAATTTCTCAAGTTGACAATGCTGGTGATGCTTCTGTAAGTAAACGGATCATTAACTTTGTTTTTCCTGATAATATGACATCTGATGAAAAAATTCACTCTGTTGCTACTGATGTAAATTAAATTAAAAGACGCACTTATTATTGCTAAAGTTATATTATTGTAGCTACAATTATCTTTCTAATTATTACTTATTTTTGTTCAGGCTATTCAGGAGCAATTTTTGTTGATGATGAGGAATGTAAATGTTGTTACAAACTATCATTTGAAAAAGGTTGAACTTTTATTAACCCATGATGTGGCTTGTGCATCTCCTGTGGGGTTTGGGGGCAATGGTGCAAGGGAGGAAATTGATCCTGCCGGGGTGGGGAGATTGGTGGAAGGGACTGTGTGAGGGGTGAATTTATGAATAATATTGTTCAGAATGTGGTGGAAAAGATTAACCTGGAGTATGGTGAAAGTTCTTTCTCATCTATAATCATGACTTCTTTGGAGAATGGTAAGACAAAAATATATGTTGGATGTGGGTCATGTGATGTTGATGTTAAGTTTGTTTGACAAGTGATGAAAAGTTATAAGATGTTTTTGAAACAATTACCAAAGTTGTATCAGGAGATTGCTGATTATTTCTTCTTAGATGATATTCAAGTGTTGAGGAAGTCAGTTATTTATATTTTGGTTAAAGTTTTATTTTTTTGCTTAAAGTTATGGTTTTTTTCTTAAAGTTAGTGTTTGGTGTGGTTTGATCTGACTCGTAATGTTCCAAGAGAAGATATGGTGTCTTTAGCTGCTAATTTGGAGATTTTCCAATCTGTAATTGAGTGTTGGGCAATGTTGCTGAATGAGAACGAATGAATGCGCGATGGAGGTCCTAAAAAATATTGTTTTTGTGTTGAACACTGTAAAGTTATACTTCTATCTATTTTTATTTGAATTGATGTTTATCTATTTAATTCTTATCGTTTTTTTTTTAGAAATCTTATCAATTTCTTCTTGTCTTATTGTTATTTAGGCTAACTTGGTAAGGCTTTGGAAGGATGAAAATGATATTGATGTTATGGATCAACATCAAGATTGTTTGAAGGAATAGATTCAAGTCACAAACCACAATTTTGATGTCAGTGTTGTTGATTTGGTAATAATCATTTCTACTATGTATATTTTAGTTCACATGTGTCAATAATTTTTTTTCCTATTTCATTAGATTTTAATTTTCAAATGATAGGTTTTTGTTCCTATTTATGCGAATAACCATTTCTGGGTTTTTGCGTTGAATATGAAGAATAAAACCATGCAATTATTGGACAACTTGGTTAATGATGAAGCTCCTATGGAAACAATTGAGTAGTTGTCTAAAATATTGGTAGTTGAAACTTTTGTTAAAGTTATACTTATTTTTGCAAACATTACACTTATTTTGGTTAAAGTTACACTATTTACTTTTATGTTTAATCATTGAAATTTGTTCTTCCTTTTCTAGTGTGATCAGTTGAGCACATTTTACACTAGTCTTGATCATCCTAAAAGTAATGAAGCTGGAGAATATGAAATGGAGGAGGTCATGTTCAGTTGGAAGAATCATAAAGAATCTGATCTTAATTTTGGAATATATTATATGATGTGTATGTTGTTGTTTAAAGGTGCGGCTTTTAGTTGTGATGCATTGATGCGGGTTAGTTGCAATGTTTTTAGGATTTTTTTTTGTTGTTTACATGATACTAATATATATTTCTTATATACAGCAAAGTTCAAGAGTTGCACTTTGAGTAGAGATTTGTGCAACACTTGTAATGTCTGATATGAATGATGGCAGACAAATGGTTTTGAATTCTTTATGCAATATTAATCAGCATCGTTTGGAGCTAGCACCTGAAGTTGCTAAAAGGAGAAAGCTGCTGATGCAACGAGAAGGGAAAAGCAGCAAAGAAGTTGAGTACTTCTATCAAAATGAAGGATGCCAATAAGAATGAAAAATCTACGAAGGGAAAGTAAATGTTGTATTATCAATAGTAGGATTTGTCAAGTGGAAGCTAAATGACTGTAATTTAAATAGTATGGTATATTAAGTTTTATAAAAATAAAGTGCAACTATTACTCTGTAATACAATAACTTTTCATTCATATCAGGTAACTTTAATAGTGATATCACGAACTAGTCTATTTTATTAAGGGTCTGTTCTCATTGACTGAACTCAGCTAAACTCAACTGAATCGAACTGAACTGAACTGAACTGAGCTGAGCTGAGCTGAACTAAACTGAACTAAAATAAAATGAGCTGAACTTAACTGAGCTGAATTAAAAGGAACTGTGAATTGAACTGAATTAAGTTGAACTGAACTGAACTGAATTGAAATGCATATTTCATAAGAGAAGATAATTAGGAGCTTAACTGAACTAAACTCAGCAGAGCTGACCTAAACTGAACTGAACCGAACTTGAAATAATGCACCTGAATTTAAGTTTTGAAGCATTGCATTGTAGTCACTTGCGCAATTAAGCTAGGTCAATGTTATTGCCATATTGCCCGCAATTTAGTGTTTGTTGCACAGAATCGTTGTTTTAGACTAAATTGATGTTTGAATTAACATCAATTCCATAATCAACATTAATAGCTTCTGCAGTTTGCATATTGTTTGTAGTAATTGGAGCTAGAATTTGTTTTTGAGGTTGTAATAATTTTTCAATTAGGGAATCCATTGATGATTGAGAATTAATTTGCAGAGAATTTGAGGGAAGACGCCGAAGAAGATATTTTGCAAGCAGATGAAGCTTCGCTTTCTATGTCTTAAATTGAGCGCTAGTTATATTGGATTTGGCAGGTGTGAATCGGGCCTTATATTACTGTTAATGTAAGACGGTTGTACGCAAGCTTTTTTTGGATATGTAAAATAAGTTAATGCAATAATGGATTGAGGGCCTATGGTTATGCACTTCTTGTGATCGAATAAAATAATGTATGCTGATCATCACATAGTATAATATACTAACTTTCATGTTCATAAGTAATATACTATGGTGACTACCACTAGCATTTATAGATAATACCTACATAATTTTAAAAAGGCATTTAATTAATTAACTTATACGCTCTTAGACATTTCCTAGTAATTTTCTACTAGGAAAAGGGAGGGCTTACATTTTTTATGGACTAATGGTGACCATTAAGGCTGTATACAGTTTGGTCTGGACCGTAACCAAACCAGACCAAACCGCATTTTAGCGGTTTGGTTTGGTTTAGGGTTTGGAAAAATACGGTTTGGTTTCGATTTTTTGGGAAATACGGTTTGCGGTTTGTTTGGTTTTTCAAAAATTATAAACCAAACCAAACCGTAAACCAGTAAACCGCATTTTAATATTTAAATAATTTTTAAATAAATTAAAATAGTTATTATATATTATAAAACAACAAAAAAAAATTGAAAAATCATTAGAAGACTATACGGTCAATATACTACTATACTCTATACTGAATCTCAAATATCAATACTTAAAATTCAATAGGTCATATAACTATATGTAATGTAGTACGAATTATTTTTTTTGACAAAT